AATCTCTAGCCAGCCCCTCTGTCTCTCCAGTGGGCCGTTTTATTGTCCCTCCCATCCCAGGGAACAAAGGGGCGGGAAGAGTACTAGGCCCCCAGTTGCCGGCTGGTCTCAGCATCCTAATCCTTGAGAACCAGTGAGAGGAATGGCCTGTGGAGCCAGTAAATCGAATTCTGGCCACACCTTTTATTCCCTCCCTTGGCTTTTGCTCTCAGGAGCTCTCAGGTATTATAAAACCTCCTCTCTAGCGGGCTGGTAGAAATCTTGGGGCTTGCTGAGGGGATAAAAGCCTCTGAGGGATCATTCTCTCACTAACAGCCCTTTCCCAAAGGGAAAGCCTGTTTGGATAGTTCTTTCCCACCACTCCAGGCTGGCTCCATTACAAAGTCTCAATGTGGGGCCTCAAGTGGTTGGACTAGCAGTTTTTCTTAGTTGGTACCACAGCCGCTGCCCTCATATGATCTCCTGCCCTCCCCCTGTCTCTAGGCCGGGCTTGCATATACCTCCTGGAGCTGCAGGCACCAACCTCCAAGATACCAACTTGGAGCTATCACACCAGGGCAACCCTCACACAACCCCTTCTTGGCCTTCACTGCTGGTACCTTTCCAAGGTTACCATCCAGGGATCAAAGGTTTCTTTGCTTTAAACTTGGGGAGTGGTGCAGGTGTCTTTTTGCTCAGTCATTTGGTAAGTGGGGAGGTAGGGTGGGGGTTAAGCTTTTATGTTCCATTGTGTGGATATCTCCAGAGTGCAACTCTACCGAGCTGAGTGAATGATAAGCGCATCATCTCCTTAGAAAAATTAGGTAAAGCTAAAGTGTGATGGTATTTAGAGATCATGCAGGCCGATGATTCTAATTAAAAAACATCTTATATGGCAACCTTTAAACACAGAGTCATAATGGGCACAGTCATCAACGAACACACCATGAAACATAGAAGTAATATAATTTGGTATTATCCGTTGCCTGTTTTTTTTTTTTACAATGTATTTTTCTTACATTGTTATTCATTTTTATGCAATAAATGAATAAATCCCCCACCACCTCAGCACCCATGAATCGTCACCATAGTCCCTTGTGTTCTTCCCTCCTTGTTTTGACCCTTCGCCCTCCTCTTCCCCTGATATAGGTCTCAGATCTATACTTTTGTCTTTTTTAAACTTTATTTGTTTCCTTATGTTTTCCTTATTTGTTTTCCAGTATGTTTCCTCCAATGAAATCATTCATATTCTTTTCCTGCTGACTTATTTCACTGAGTAGAATCCCTTCATGTTGCTGCAAATGGCATGAGTTTATCTTTTTTAATTGCTGAGTAGTATTCCACTATATATAAATAAAACATATATAAGATCCATTCATCTGTTTTTGGGCACTTAAGTGGTTTCTATATCTTAGCTATTGTGAAATAGTGTCGCAGTAATCACAGAAGTGCAGGTTACATTTTGAATTAATGTTTTTACTGTTTTTGGATAGATACCTAGGAGTGGAGTCACTGGGTCATATGGTAGACCCATTTTTAATCATTTGAGGAAACTCTACAGAGTTTTCCATGGTGGCTGGAACATTTTGCATTCTTACCAGCGGTGTAAGAGGGTTCCTTCTTCACATCCTTGCCAGCATTTGTTGTTGCCAGTTTTTTAATAGACTATTAAAATTACCCATTTTTAAAATGTTGGTTGTGACGAATTTCATTTTATGATTCACCAATGGGTTGCTAGGCAGTTTGCAAAGCTAATTTATTTATTTATGCATAGAAGAACTGGGGTGTGGGCCAGTGAGGTGCACGGGGGGAGGGAATTCACCAGAGACAGAGTAGGGAGCATAACAGACAGATCTACTGAAATACACTGCTGAGGGGAGCAGCGGGCCAGATAGGAGAGGTCTGCTGCACCACATGTGGGTCAGCTCCTTGACTTGGGGGTCAAAACTCACAGCAGATGTGATTGTGTGATAGCACTGAGACTTAACCCCTGTGCCACCAGGGAGGTCCAGTTTTCAAAGCTCCTAATGAAGGTTAACATTTTCATTTCAAGCTGACAAAACCAGGTATTTTTCAAGATCACACCAGAGCTAGTACTGACATCCAAAGGAACCCCGATTACTGAGGGGTCCCCTTTCTCTGAGAAGCACGTTTGCTTCTGTTTCCCCAAAGTCCCGGGAGCATATAGCCAAAGGGGAGGCTTCTGTTTCCCCAAAGTCCCGGGAGCATATAGCCAAAGGGGAGGTTTGTGTTCAGTGATGTTGCTCAGCAGAAGGTTTTTGCTACCTCTGGAAAATCACAGAGGGAGGTGTACTTGGGGGGAGTGGGCTGGAGAAAACAAATTCGAAAGCAAGCAGGTAAGGCTCCACAGGGCCCCATTTTCTGTATCAGCTGAGATGGCATCATTGCATCCCTCTGCACACTCCCTGGATGCTTCTCTTTCCTTAACACACCACCTCAGGTCAGCTGGTTTAGTGACTCATTTTCTTGTCTGTTTTCCAACTTTTGCAGTGTTTTAAAATCTCCACCAATCACTGTGTTTCTCCCTTGTTTTCCTCACTTTCCCCTTTTCTGTCAAAATGATGCTGTTAGCAAGGAGTATGAGAGAGGCAAGTCTGAATCTTGTTCTCAGAAACACTATCCTAAAAGTATCCAAGTTAGAACAGATTTAAAAGTGTTTTTTATCCAAATGCCTAGTGATCGAGCTACAGGCATTTCATCAGAGCAGGAGGGGCTCTTCTACAGCTGTCTTGTAATCTTCCATAGAATTTCATGCAATCTTTATTGAAATTTGCAATTTATTAGACTTCTAATCTTTTAAGAAAGCCTCTAAAACTGAAGGGCCACAAGCCACACTGTGCACTGGGTAAATAAAAGTCCAAGTTTCTGATTGCTTATTACTTATCCACCCTTAGAGAGTATGTAACAAAGGGAACTGCTGTTTGCTTTGCTTAATCTGGTCTTGAAATCTCTGCTTCTTTGTCAGAAAACAATATTTGCAATTGCAAAAAAAAATATTTACCAAGGAACTTGGATAGCATAGGTCAAAGGCTAAGAGCCAAAGGTCAGTACTTCTTACCCCAAATTTCTCTGGACCTGCTGTGGAGCTCAGCTGCACCAAGCAAACACAGTGCTCTCCTGGCCCTTTAACTGGCAGACATTTCAAAAGGGGAAGGAAAGGAAGGCTGAGGCCTGCTCCACTGTCAGAAGCATGGATGCTCCAGCAGGCTCCATGAAATTCCTGCTAGATTGGGACAGGGCTGTGTGTCTCCCTGGGGAGAATGCAGGGACTTACCTTGTTTTGGCAGCGTGGGCAAAGTACTCAACAGAAACCTCAACGGTTGTGTGCCCCACTATGGTTCGGACCAGATATTTACCCAGGTAGCTCTGTGGAGGGACTGACTAGCAGACAGCGAGGGACAAATGAGTACTTCTGTGGAGCCCTCTTTAACCCACAATTTTAGACATCTAGTCCTTTTGGCTAATTTCAGTGGTGTTTGAACTTAGGCTTTTGAATAGAGTTTCTGGATCCTTTTCATACATGTGGGTATGAAGGTTCCCCCATACCAACCCCAACCAGACTCTGGCAAGAGGTCTGTGAATCCAACTCAATTCTGACACCTCTATCCCGAGAGCCTCAGACACCACAGGTAAAGAGCTCTCCCAAGGTGGCGTTCCACAACACATGCGAGTCTCAAGACAAGCCTATTAGCTGTGCTCTGACTGCTGGGCTACAATTAGAGGAGCCTGTGAGCCCCTCCTCAGACTCCTCAGCTATGAACCCCACTGCTTTTTGGCTCTCAGGACATCCTCCTCAGGCTTGAATAGTGTGTTAGAGTGGTTCAGTGAACTCAGGAAACCCACTGACTCACCTTACAAATTATTATTCCTGAAAAACTATGATTCAGGATTAGCTAGTAGGAAGAGAAGCAGAGGCAAAGAGCCTGTGAGAAGAGTGCTCCCATGCCTTCTCCAAGCCTCCCATCTCCTCCAAATCCTCATGTGTTTTCCAACCCGGAAGCTTTCTAATGCCCCAACTTTTTGGGCTTTTAGGGGGTTTCATTCTATAAACATGGCTAATTAAATCATTGGCCACTGGCAGCTGAAATCAGCCTGTAGCCCCTTTCCCCTCCCTGGAGTTCTGGGATGGAACTGCAAGTCCCATTCCTCTACTCATAGAGCTGACTCTCCAGACAACCAGCCTCCATCCTTAGGTACTTCCAAAATCCACCTCATTCACAGAATCAAAGCCAGCTTCATCACCTTCAATATTTAAAGAACTCCAAGGAATATACAAGAAATAAACATCTAAATGACAAAAATACATATTTCTGATAAATCATGATTTTGCACCCTTCGTGGTTATTGCTGTCTAGATAAAGCTCCAACTGGATGCCTTTCCTTACCAGCAGGGGATCCAGCATCTGATAATGAACTGCCACAGAACAGTAAGTTCTGGACAAGAGCCCTTGGATGCTGACCTGTGAACCAAAGTCCCAGGCCCATGCCACATGTGAAGGACAACAAGGTCTGGTCCCAGTGAAGACCCGAGCACAGGAAAAGGAAATGGAGTAACCAGAGCAGGTGAAGAAGTAGGACTCAGAGTGCCCTACAAAATACCACGCAGGCTCCCAGGCCAGATATGCTCTTTAGCACACTTTCAGAGCTCCAAGCTGTGGCTGGGTCTGAGATGGTGTCAGACTCACAGTCCAACTCTTCACTCCATAGATCTGGAAGAGGACGAAGTAGTGGCAATTCCTAGCTTGCTTGGCTTAACCCTCATTCTTTGGTTGTCTCATTCTGCGAGAGAATTCTAATTCTCCCTCAGCCCCACCTTGACCTTCTGCCAAATCCTTGCCATAACTGTCATTCTCTTTGATCTTATCAGGACAAATATCATTGGCCATTTCCTCTTGGCCTTTGATTTGTTCTTGAAGTATTCTCAGGAACACAGCAGTAATTATCAACAGCAATGGGTAGCAAAATCAGTTTAAATAAATGCCTTTATCTAAGAATCTTACCTTGAAGAACCAGGCCTTCCTTCTCAATGGTGTAGGTAAGTGAGGTGAAAGGAGCCAGAGGGGATTTAGCAATGAGAATCTGCACAAAAAGCATATTTTAGGGTTAGGTAAAGGAGTTGTCAGAGATGAGTCTGCACTCATGATTCTTACTTTGAGAAAAGTGGTAACTTATGGCTACATGCCACCAGTTCATTATTACTAAAAATTTATTCTAGAACAAAATGAGTGCTATTCTTTCAAAGTGATCACCTTGGAAGGTTCCAACTATTCTGTTACTGAAGATCATCTTCTTGAATGGGTTCTTCTAAGAATGTTTCATTATTTTATGTTACTTGCCTAAATGTCTACCTTCTGTCCAAAGATAAAAACCTGAGTTTTATACATAAAGTTGACTATTTTATCAAAAAACTCAAAGATACCTTTCAAAGATAAAGACTTGCTACCATTGTAAACATTCAAAGTAATTAGGCATAGGGAGATCGTTTTGCTGGCACTAGCTCTTCACCACATCTGTGTTCACACCCTGTCCCATGTGACGACATTTCCACGTAAGGTGTGGCGTGTTTCCCATGGTCCTGACTGGGTTTGGCCGCATGACTTATTTTGGCTATAGGTTGTGCCAGCTCTCAGCCTTCAATAAGCCTCACACATTTTCATTTGTTCTCTTATGCCTCTGCTACAGCCAGAAAAAAAATATGACCAAGCTAGTCTGTTATCTCAGGAGGATGATGAGAGACACCAGCAGAGCTGATGAGCCAGGTCCCGTCCACATAGCTAAGGCACATACACATTAAATACATATTATCCTGAGCCTTTGGGATTTGTTTGGTATTGTTAAAACATCATTGTAGCAAGAGTTGACTCATTTGCTAGCCAAAACAAAGTATCAAAGATATTTTGAACAATGGCATTCCCTAAAGAAGACACCTACTTTAAAGAGAATGATCAATGGGTCATTAAAAAAAAGTTAGTATCCCTAACACATTACCACATCTGACATGTGATTTCACATCTCATATTAGCCCTTCTAGAGACTGGAAGATTAATTGATTATAGCATTCCTCCTGAAGGAAGATGAATATCAGTTTCCTGTTTTACAAATTAATATAATCACAAACAGTGACAGTTTGGCACAGGGCCACTTAGGTAATTGGGGAGGCAAGAGATTGGGAAGAAGTAATTTAAAATAACCAAAAGCTTACAGCCCATATCTCAATCCAGCTCCACTGGACAAACATTAACTAACTGTCAAGTATGAGAAACAGTGGAACAATCTGGTACAAAGATCACAGGCTTTGTCATGAAGTTGACTCTAGACCCCTCAGCTAGGTGCCATCGCAAACCTGCAATTTTCTAATAGTAGCCATTCCTCTTCTAGTAAAAAATTTGATTAACAAGAATAATAAAAAAAAAAGGACACTCCCCAATTTTCCATTTATTTTAAAAAAGATTTATTTATGCATACAAGAGCTCAGGTGCAGGCCAGAGGTGCAGGGGAAAGGGAAAAGAGGATTGACCAGAGACAGAGTGGGGAGCAGAACAGGCAGATGTGTTGAAATACACTGTTGAGGGGAGCAGCGAGACAGGGGAGGTCTGCTGTGCCATGTGGGTCTCCTCCCCTTAACTCCTCCCCACTAAAAGCCAATGTTTTTCTTTTACCAGAAAAGATTCAACTCAAATTGAAACTTGATAATTTTTACACCTGTCTAAAGTTATCTAGATAAACATGGTCATCATTCTTAGAAGCAATGAATACATGTATAGGTAGGACAGTTACATCTTCATGTCAAAAATATTCACCAGACAATGAAGAGAGCAAGTAGTTTGGGGATGGTTCTGTGTGAAGTTTGTAAGTGCCTACCGGTAGGGGAACAGCATGGTAGCAAAAGCCAATGTGAGTCAAAGTTTAGTGTGTGTATGACCCACTTGTGTATCCTGTTGACATGCAGATTCTGATTCGGTAGGCTTTGAGGTCTAAGAGTTTACACTTCTAATAAGTTCCCAGGATATTCCCAAGCTCTCATCTATGGACCACGTTTTAGGGGCTGACTTCTAGGAAATCAGCCTGATTAATGAGTCTGAGGTGGAGAAGCAAGCGTGGGGAGTCTTGGAGGCAGTTGGGAGAGTATTGTGATCTTTTGGGGTGAGAGCAAGAACCTGTGTCATAGCTGCATCCGAAAGAATGGGAAAAGGGAAACAGATAAGCGAAATATAAATCCTCTAGATCAAAGAGCAATAATAAAAATATATTAAATATTTCGAAGATCTCAGAGTTTTACTCTCTACATGAAGTAACTGGATTTGAAACCAAAAGGTGTAAATAAATAGTAATCTATATTTTTAAAAATGTATTATTTTTTTTATCCACTGCAGAATCAAGGAAAAACATGTGACATTCTAATACAATAAAACAAATGGCATCAAAACTGAGTCCTTCAGTGCAGTGGTGCTACATCCCTCGGCTGACTGCTTCCCCTCCCGGGAATGTACCAACTCTGTGAGCAAGTTCTGCACCATCAGAGAACCTCATTTAAGGGACCACACTCCCTCCCACAGAGTCAAAGCCTTTGGACAAGTTCTGATTAATGCCCTATCCTTCTCAAACAGAGTTGAAAATGGCTTACCAACAGGATGATATATGTGAGTGAGAAAGAAGTGAGCACATGAATCTCACTTCTTTTTCTTGGAAAGAACTTTGAGATTGGTGGATGAGAGAGCCACTCCTAACACAGAAAAATACCTGTTTTTCAGCAATATATGTAATACTTAATAGCCTTCTACATAAAGTGAAGTTAAGTTGGCTAGATACTAATACCATTAAGTGAATTTGTCAGTGACCAAAGATCAACAGCATTCTGGATGCTGCTGAATGTACTAGATTTAAGCCTTTGTCCTGTTACAATCATTGTTCTTACCAACCTGAACAAGCACACAGATCTATCCAACCACATCTGTATAACAAATATGGGATTCACAGGAAAAGGAACTGCCAAAATTGTTGTCCGAAAAGAGTTTATCTTCTAAAGCAGGCAAAAAGATCAACAAAATAAAGTATAATATATGGTATGTTGGATGGTTATATGTTTTTCAGAGAAAAAAAGGTAGAGAGAGTATAGGAAGACATGGATTAGTAGATTAGTAGAGAAGACCTCACTGAACAGGTGACATCTGGACCTATAGATTATATACCTAAACCCATCTGAAGGGCTCCTGAATATGATAACAGAAGACAAAGTAGAGAAAGAGTTAATAGATAAGACACTCATAATATGAAAACAAATCTCAATTTGGTTTAGAGTGTTGGGACAAATTTTGCAAATACTTTGGGATGCAATTTTATTCTCTCTCTCTCTCTCTCTCTTTCTCTCTCTCTCTCTCACACACACACACACACAAGGCCTTATCCTTGAGAACAGTGGACCAACTAATAGTTACAGAATGGGGGAGATATGATTTAACATAAATCATCAAGTGGATTAGAAGTATTAGTTTTACTGTAGTTCAATGAATCAGTTGTAAGATGTGATTCACAAAAATCTAGTGTAGTGTCAGATTATGTCAATGGAGACGCAGGATCTGGAGCAAGGGAATGGTTATCCTGCTTTCCTTCTCATTCAGCAAACCAAGTTTGGATTGAAGGTCAAACAGACCTTTCAAACAGAAATTGACATAGAGGAGGACAGCAGAAGGTGATCCATCTCGATGGTCAGACATGAAACAACCCATGAGCACACTTAAACACTTGGTAAAAGTTTTTGAGCTGGAGATTCTGTAGTGTTACCTATCAGAGAGAGGACTTGTAAATTAGCTGCCTCTCCTGAAGGTTTCAGAAAAAAACAAGCAACAGATGCTTGATGTATATCTGTATGAAAAGAACAAAACTCTTCTCCTTTGGAGATCTGAATCCTTACTTTAAATCCTTGCACCTTTCTGCCTGTCAAACCACACATCCTGCTCTTCTAAAATAAACAAAGCTCACTAGCAATAATTTAGGTTGTTCTGTTTCAGATATTCAGTCATTCTATACATTTGGGATGTTCTAATCATCACGTGACTTGAGTTGTTGTCAACTGTCATTCTTTCTTCTTCAATACATATGCCCTGCAGGAGAGACCTGGCTGTATAGTAAAACTCCAGGCTCCTAGTGAAAAATTATTACCACACTCAAGCTTATGTATAGTGAGAACAGTTGGTTTTGGAACCTAAAGAGGGTTCTTTGAAATCTATGTTGGGCAAGAATGAATGCAGACACATGTAGCTCAGAAAGCCTAGAATTCCACATGGCTGGTGTGTGGTCTTATGAGCAAGAAATAGCCAGATTGGTTTTTTCTTGAGTGTTCTTTTCATATCATAGCAGTGCATCATTAACTACACCCTAATGAGTATACTGTCTCCTCTCTTCAGTTATTCTTGCAAGGAAAGTAGTCACCAATATTTAATTCTTTGAGGAGCACTTAAAGTAGACCTACTATGTGCTAGGTTTCAGATCCCAAATCTCACTACAATCTGGAAGTCATTTCCATCATCTGCACGATCTTCCCATCCATCCAAGAATTTGTTCAATCTACAAATATCTACTGGGAACTTTCCTTTGTGCCAAGCACTGTTTTAGGTACAGGAGATTCTGTAAGGGGAAAGAAAGATAAGGTTGTTGCTCTCATGGAGCTGACATTGTGGTGGCAGAACACAAACCACACAAGAAATCTTTAGCACTAAAGGCATAGCTGTTGTAAACCCCCCAGCATTATCCTTTATGGTGTTTGTATTTTAATCTAAGATTTCCAAAGGAGAGTAATGAGTCTAAAATGGTGGAAAGTCCCACAAGGTGGGATGGGTGGGGACTCCTTCCAGGGTATCCACAGCAGTGATGATGAGGCATAACTCTTTTTTTTTTTTAAAGGGTTATTTATTTATGCATACAGAACTGGGGTACAAGACAGAGGGGCAGGAGCAGCAAGAGACTCACCAGAGACAGAGTAGGGAGTAGAGCAAGCAGATCCACAAAGTACACTGCTGAGGGGAGCAGCTGGCAGGTCAGGAGAGGTCTGTCATGCCATGTGGGTCACCTCCAGGCCTGAG